CTCTCTTTAGTCTAGTCAGGATTGCTTTTTTATGTATATTGAAGGTGTTTTGTTAGGCACATACACATTTGTATGTAATTGTTATACCTTTCTAATATTTGTAATTGTTTGTAATTGTTATGCATTTCTGATAAATTGGCTCCTTTAGCATTCTGAAGTGTTCTTCATCTCAGCTAATACCGATTGTTTTAAAATATATTTAAACTGATAGTAATATCACTGCTCTAGCTTTTTTTTTTTTTTTTCGGAGTTTCACCCTTGTCACCTAGGCTGGAGTGCAATGGCGTGCGTGATCTTGGCCCACTGCAAACTCCACTACCCAGGTTCAAGTGATTCTCCTGCCTCAGCCTCCCAAGTAGCTGGAATTACAGGCGCCCGCTGCCACACCCAACTAATTTTTCTGTTTTTAGTAGAGACGGGGTTTCACCATGTTGGCCAGGCTGATCTCAAACTCCTGACCTCAGGTGATCCACCCACCTCAGCCTCCCAAAGTGCTGGGATTACAGGTGTGAGCCACCACACCCGGCCTGCTCTAGCTTTCTAATGCTTGCATGATATATCTTTTTGTCTCCTTATACCTTCAACCTAACTATATATTTCTATTGAAAGAGTTGCTTTTTGTAGAGAGCACAATTGATTCTTTCTCTTTTAGTGCAGTCTGATAAGCTCTGCTTTTTAACTAGAGTGTTTAATCCATTTATATTTAATATAATTATTGACATAGTTGAGTATAGGCCTATCAATTTTGCTGTTGATTTTCTATTCGTCACCTGAATCTTTTGTTCCTGTCTTCCTCCTTTCTTGTCTTCTTTTGAGTTAAACATTTTTAAAATAACCTTTTCTCTATTACTTTTTATCAAAATCTCTTTGCATTAGCAAAACCTCTTTGCATTTGTAATATTTCCTCTAGTAATTGTAATATGAGTCCTTAGCTTATCACAGATATTTTTTGCTTCACATCAAAGGTAAGAACCTTTGCTTTGTGTTAATTTTATTATGCACACACACACACACACACACACACAAGATACATTATGAGTTCAATAATACCATGTTATAATTTTTGCTTCAAATAATTATATCTCTTTTAGATTAAGGAAATAAAGTTTTTTCCTTTATAACAATTTACATGTGTACTATTTCTAATATTCTTCATTCCTTCCTGTAAATCTGAGTATCCTTCAGTGTAATCTCCCTTTAGCCTGAAGAACTTATTTTTGTATTTCTTGTGAAGCAGGTCTGCTGGCAGTGAATTTTCTCAGTTTTCATTTATTCGAAATATTTTTGTTTCCCCATGTTTAAGGATTTTTTTTTCTGCATATCTAATTCTAAGGTTTTTTCCCCCCTTTCAGCACATGAAAGATGGTATTTCATTATGTTCTGGCTTCTGTTGTCTCTGATGATAACTCATTTGTTATTCATGCAAGTGTTCCTCTATGTGTGATATGGTTTTTTTGTATGTGTTTGGTTGTTTTGGTTTGGTTTTTGTTTTCATTGGCTGCTTTCAAGATTTTCTCTTTCTCTTTGATCTTTAGACTATGATGTGCCTAGGAATTGCTTCCTTTTATATTTATCTTTCTTGGGGTTCAGTGAGCTTATTGAGTATGTAAGTTGTGTTTTTCACCAAGTTTGGGACATTTTCAGCCAGTAGTTTATCAAATAATTTTTATTCTCTGATATCAATTTTCTCTCCTTCTAAGACTTTAATGATATATGTTAAGGAAACTAATATTGTCTTACAGATTTCTGAGACCCTGTTTAGTTTATTTCAAACATTTTCCACTTCAGATTAGATAATTTCTATTTATCAAGCTTCAAGTACATTGACACTTCTGCCAGTTTGTTTGTTGTTATGCATATCCAGTGAATTTTTAAAATTTCATATATGGTACTTTTCAAATCTAGAATTTCTATTTGGTTCTTATTTAGAGTTTCCACTTCTTTGCTGTGATTTTCTCTCTGTTCATTCATTATAAACATTTTTGTCCTTTAAGTCCTTGAGCATATTTATAAAGTGTGCTTTAAATTCCCTGTGCCAATTCTAACATCTTTGACATATGAGTGGTTCTATTGCACTTCCCCTGAGAATTGGGCCAAGACAAGGATGCCCACTTTCACCACTTCTATTCAACATAGTATTGGAAATCCTGACCAGAGCAACCAGACAAGAGGAAGAAATAAAAGGCATCCAGATTGAAAAAGAGGAAGTCAAACTTTCACCATTCACTGATGATATGATTGTATACCTAGAAAACTCTAAAGACTCATCTAAAAAGCTCCTAGATCTGATAAACAAATTCAGCACAGCCTCAGGATACAAAAATCAATGTGAATTTTTGTGAAAAAAACACAAATCAGTAGCACTCCTATACACCAACAACAACCAAACTGAAATTCAATCATGAACTCACTCCGTTTTACAACACCTGCAAAATAATAAATAATTTAGGAATATACTTAACCAAGGAGGTGAAAGATCTCTACAAGGAAAATTACAAAACATTGCTGAAAGAAATCATAGATAACACAAACAAATGGAAACACATCCCATGTTCATGGATGGGAAGAATCAATATTGTGAAAATGACCACACTGCCCAAAGCAATCTACAGATTCAATGAAATTACATCAATGCATCAGATTCAATGCAAAATACCATCATCATTCTTCACAGAACTAGAAAAAACAATCCTAAAATACATGTGGAACCCCAAAAAAGCCTGTATAACCAAAGCAATACTAAGCAAAAAAAAAAAAAATCTGGAAGCATCACATTACTCGACTTCAAACTATACTATAAGGCTATAGTTATCAAAACAGCATGGTACTGGTATAAAAACATGCATGTAGACCAATGGAACAGAATAGAGAACCCAGAAATAAAGCCAAATAAGTACAGCCAACTGCTCTTTGACAAAGCATACAAAAACATAAATTGGGGACAAGACACCCTATTCAATAAATGGTGCTGGGAAAACTGGCAAGCCACATGTAGAAGAATGAAACTGGATTCCCATTTCTTACCTTATACAAAAATCAATTAATGATGGATCAAAGACTTAAATCCAAGACCTGAAACCATAAAATCTCTAAAAGATAACATCAGAAAAACTCTTCTGGACATTGACTTAGGCAAAGAATTCATGACTAAGACCCCAAAAGCAAATGCAACAAAAACAAAAAATAAACGAATGGGACCTAATGAAACTAAAAAGCTTCTGCACAGCAAAAGAAATAATCAGCAGAGTAAACAGACAACCCACAGAGTGGGAGAAAATATTCATAAACTATGCCTCTGACAAAGGACTCATATCCAAAATCTGCAAGACACTCAAATTAGCAAGAAAAAAAAACACACACACAAATAATCCCATCAAAAAGTGGGCAAAGGATATAAATACACAGTTCTCAAAGGAATATATACAAAGAGCCAACAAACTTATGAAAAAATGTTCAACATTACTAATCATCAGGGAAATGCAAATCAAAACCACAATGAGATACCACCTTACTCTTCCAAGAAGAGTAAGGTCATCATCAAAAAGTCAAAAAACAATAGTTGTTGGCATGGATGTGGTGAAAAGGGAACACTTTTACGCTGCTGGTGAGAATGCAAATTAGTGCAACCACTATGGAAAACAGTATGGAGATTCCTTAAAGAGCTAAAAGTAGAACTACCATTTGATCTAGCAATCCCACTACTACCACTTTGGGTGTCTACCCAAAGAAAAATACATCATTATATGAAAAAAACACCTGTACACCCATTTATAGCCTCACAGTTCACAATTGCAAAGTTATGGAGCCAATCTAACTGCCCATCAACCAACCAGTGGATAAGAAAATGTGTTATATATACACCATGGAATATTAGCCATAAAAATGAAATAATGTATTTTGCAGCAACTTGGTTGGAGCTGGACGCCATTATTCTAAGTGAAATAACTTGGGAATGGAAAGCCAAATATAATATTGTATGTTCTCATTTATAAGTGGGAGCTAAGCTATGAGGATGCAAAGGCATTAGAATGATAGAAGGGACTTTGGGGACTGGGGGGGAAGGTTGGGGGGAAGGGATAAAAGACTACATATTGGGGTACAGTGTACACTCCTTGAGTGACAGGTGCACTAAAATCTCCGAAATCACTGCTAAAGAAGTTATCCATGTAATCAAAAACCACCTGTACCCCAAAAACTATTAAAAATTAAAGTTAAAAAAGAGGTACTCCCAGAAAGTCTTCTGGGTTTTAGACATAGTCCTCCCATTGTACAGTATCAGCCTGATTTGATCACCAGGATCAAATGTGCCACACAGTGGAATGACTTCCTCCTATGTTGCCAGTTGAGTGGCAGGAGGCACCCATAGTGTCCAGTTTCATGGACCAACTCAATGGGCCCCTGGTTGTGTTCCACGATGGAAGCATTTCTCCCTAGGGAACAAAACCTTTCAAATCAACAGAGCCCAGAGGGTTCGAGTGCATGTGGTTATTAGGTGTAATAGAGAGGAAAGCCACTCCCACTCCCTGATTTGGGGCCCTGTTATTGTGGATGTGGGACGAACCATACCTTCTACTGATCGCCGCATCAAAGCATATTCTTCATTCTGTAAGACAGAACTTTAACCTTTCAGGCCATTGTCTCTCAAGCAGAACCTTAACTGAGTGTTCACATGGCCGTTCCACCGTTCAGTTAGGCCAACTGCTTCCGGATGAGAGAGAGTCCATGATAACACTAGCGATTTCCACAGGCCCAAGGTCCCTGTTGTCCTATCAATGTGAAATGAGTTCCTTGGTCCGAAGCAATGTTGGGTGGAATGCCGTGTGGCACAGAGGGCACCCCGTGAGTCCAGAGACGGCAAAGAAGACGAGTAAATACCAAGAACACTGATTTAACCAAAAATAGGGAGAGAATTATGCTGGGAGAGAGAGGGGAGGGGAAGTGGTGGGGGGACAGGGTGGGGGTGGATTGTAAGAAAGATAAATCTTCATCTTCCATCCCAGTAAGTCAAAGATGGTGTCGAAAATGGTGAAATCAAGAACTAGAATTATGAAGATTTAAAAACAGAAGAAACACCTCCCAGAGTTGCAAGTGGTCACCTGTCCCAGAGAGCTGGTGAGATGAGATGGGGAGGCGTCAGCTGAGTTTTATGGTAAGTCCTGGGGAACCACTGGACGTCGAAAACTATAAACCTTTTATTAAAAATAAAGTTATGGAAATAGAAAAAAAAGGGGGGGGGGGAATCTGACTCTTAGATTGCAATCTGGGGAACTGATTGTCTTCTCCAAGATTTCTGCCACCCAGGAGCCGAACCAGTGGTTTCTGGGCAACTCAGAAAGGCGCCTCTTGTTTGGGACACTTTACTGCCATCTGCTGGACAACTGAAGTAATACCTTTACAAATGGGTGACGGAATGGGTGTGAAGCTCCTCGCACCCGGCACCTGGTTTATGTCCTGCACCACTTGTATAGAGCAAGCGAGGCCTTGCAATTGGTGGCCACCGGTCCAGGACACTCCTGAAGGGGCTTTGTTTGGTGAGGCTGTTGCACCAGGGAGGCCAGAGCGGCAGCGGCCTGTCTTCCTTCTGGGCACTTTAGCCCCCAGGTCGGAGGAGAGCTCCTTGGCAGTTCCAGCTCATAGATGATTGGGTCCGGCTGCATGTTGATTTCAGGGTCTTTCTCCTACCTGGCCCCACCAGTGACTGGCTTAGAAGAAATTCCTCAAACTCCTACCTGACCCTTCAGAAAAATTGTAATGCTATCTAAATCCCCCACCTTTCACCCCCACGCCTGTTTTACATTTTCCTCGTGATTTCAATCAGGGTTGGGGGTGACATGTGGGCAAGCCAGATCTCCATAAGGGCGTTGTACTCAGGGCCTTCATTTTTCTGACTCCGAATTTTAGCTGCCACTTCTTGGGTCTGCATGAGGACTAGTCGTTCTTGGAAGAAAAAGCTGCCCCCCACCCAAGAAAGGAGATGAAAAATTCTTTGTGTGAAGCTTAGCATTGCCGAAGGTATAGGTACTGTCCCTCCCAGGGGCATTTGCATGCAAAGTGTATAAACTACAGAAATAAAGGAGAGGTTTGGATGAAGGTCACTTTGGGTCACTGAGTTTTCCTAGTCGGAATCCTGACGTGCGGAGAGGGCTGATAACCACATCTATGCTACCAGCAGGTGGCGCAGGGCACAGATGCCCGCCTGCCCACGGCTGCAGTGCCTCCACCTTTGAAAGGAGTGGTGACTGTGAGCAACCCTGGACACTGGAATGCAGAGGAAACATCCCTGAACAGGGCTTAGAGAGTATCATGGAACCAGAGACTCAGAAAGGGAAGGAATTTTAGAGGCAAAAGGCCACCCTTCCCCATCTAGTACCTCAGTCTTTCCACCCTTTTGCTACCAGAAGGTCATCAGCTTACACTTACATACCCCTAGGGACAGGGAGCTCACTACCTGAGAAGCAGGCCCTGCTTTCCCTGGAAAGATCTGACTCAGAAAGCACTTCCTCCCACCATCCTAAATCTGCCTTGTTCCATCTCCCACATCTCAGGCTTGGTTCTGGCCCAGCGGAGCCAGAGAGAACAGATACTCTCCCTCCTCCCCAAGATAGCCTCCGAATATTTTGAGAATGAACAGGACTCCTCCAAGCAGTCTCCTCTCTAGGGAGGGTTGATTAATTAGGACTCTTTCATCTGTCTGTGCATGGTAGAGACAGGGTCTCACCATGCTTAGGGACAACATGAGGAATTTCTGGGCACACACCCCTGTGACATCCAAGGTGATGCTAGGTTAAGAGTGAGTGATGTTGTCAGGCCGCTGCTGTCTCTGGGTGTCCCTTTTCTTGAGCTGTGCTGTTTTCCTTTCAAGACAGGGGTGGGTGGAACCATGGCCACTGGCATTGCCAAGCCTGCGTCCTACCTGCAGTAGCAAGAGACTGCCACTCCTCACCACTCTGGGTCAGGGCCAACTGCAGTTTCAGAGGGACAGAAATAGAAGGTGACCCAAAGAGGGCGCCTAAGCACAGGTCAGAGGTTGTGAAAAGTCAGACTCGACCTTTCCTGAGAGGCGGGGACAACGTTTTTCGGTTTCCAGCTTTGAGTGTCCAGAGGCCCGTGGCAGGGAGCCAGGGGTGTTGACAGTCTCACAGGCTACGCCCTGGCATCTTCCTGGAGAGGCGACTCTCTTCACTGGAAGTCATTTAAAGCCCTATTTTTAGATTTAAACAAAAATGGAAACGTTCTGGAGCAGAATGCAGAATCTGCGTGTATTTTTTGAGATAAAACCCAAGACTTCAAAGAAATTTCACACTTGTGTCAGCTGCTTCAGGCAGGCTGCCTGGCCTGCGGGTGCATTTGTTAATTCTTGGTTGGCATTAGTGGGTATTTCAGGGGCAGGCTGAGAAAGTCTGAGTGGCACTGGGCCTGGGTCCCCACATAGCTACAGGCAGGGCTGGGGAGAGATGGATCCAAGGACTTCAAAGACAGCTGCCACTGAGAGGCCCCTGCTGCCTCCAGGCACCACATTCCCTGCAAGGAGGCAGCTCGTCCTCACTCGGGAGTGAGGCCCCCACCGTGAGAGCACACCTGCCTCTGGAATCCTGTCCAAGGGCAGGAGCCAGAGCCCAGGCTGAGCAAAGGATCCGTGGGCCCCAGCAGGAAATGCCAGCCAAGAGTGCAGGAGGCAGTGCCTGGCTGCTGCTGCCAGCTTTTCACAGAGTGGTGGGCACATGGGCAGGAGGGATCTTTGAAATATTTAACCCCAGAAGCTCATGGGACCAACCAATCAGAACAGGCCTGGCCTGGTACCTGAGCAGGTCCCAGGGGCCCGGTTGGACCAAAGCTACCCCTCAAGTTGCTGCCTCGTGGGGAGACATGGGGATCCCACGTAAAAGGCCAGGGCAGCGGGGCAGCGGGTCACACTCATGGGGAATTAGACAGCAGGTATTTACCAACTGGAGTGGACACATGCTGATATTTTAACAACCAGGACGGCAGCACTGGCTGAAAACGAGCCTCGTGCATGGGTCTGATCAAGTGAGATTAAGACAAATCCAGGGCGGGGTGCAGTGGCTCATGCTTATAATCCCAGCACTTTGGGAGGCCAAGGCCAGGAGTTTGAGACCAGCCTAGTCAACATGGTGAGACCCTGTCTCTACTAAAAATACAAAACACACACACAAAATACGTTAGCCAGGCATGGTGGTGTAGACCTGTAGTCCCAGCTACTTGGGAGGCTGAGACATGAGAATCGCTTGTACTCTGGAGATGGAGGTTGCAGTGAGTTGAGATCTCACCACTGCACTCCAGCCTAGGTGACAGAGCGAGACTCTGTCTCAAAACAAAAAAAAAGAAAAAAAAAAAACCACAAATCCAGCCCACATTTATTGAGCACTTATTATGTGCCAGGAACTGTGCTGGAGCCTTTATGTATATTAATTAGCTTAATTTATGCAATGCCATGCAAATCTATCAGTGCATTTAACACTGTAGAGGATTGGTGTGAAAGCAACATGGAAAAGCCAATCAGCAAACCTGACAGGCTTAGAGGAACCCCACCCCTACCCCCGCCCCGTCCCCCACTCAACTAGAGATGGACATTTTCTTAAAGGCAGATGGTACAGAGAAGTCCAGACCTCCCCCTTGGCTTTCCCTCTGCACCCCCACCCCTCTGTTCTACTTCATCAGTTGTCCAAATTTGGCATTCATCAGACTCAATCTTCAGAACTGTACACACAAAACCATGTGTATCCATGCTGGTGGGGAGCATAAGAGGTTCTCAAGGGTTGTTTTGCGTGTACCTAGTTTTTGCCTTACTGATTTAGAACTTGCCCCTGAAATGGGCTATGACTCACTGAACTATAATTAGCCCCGTTTTGCAGGTGAGAAAGTGGAGCTCGGAGATGTCATTGGCCCAGGTCACACAGATGGTGGAGACCAGTGTGGAGCCCGGGAGTGGGCTGAGCAGAGTGCCTGGACTTTGAGCTTCCATCAGACCCTGCCCGAGATATTCACCTGTCCTGGCCACCTGGTGACCCTGGTGTGCTAACTTGGTACTTACCTTGCTCTGCGGAGCCCCCTGGGCCTCCTAAACACCAAGTGGGCGCCTTCAGGGAGCCCCATACTGACCTGAGAAGCCCAGGTATCGCTGGCCAACCAACCCTACTCACAGACAGAAGCAGTTCTCTGTCTTTTGGCTTTAACAGAGCTGCTTCATTTCTCCTCCCCACAAAGTCTGGACTTTGTTCTGGGGGGTCTCCCTGTTTGCATGGGAGCTTTTTCACTCAGTGCTCAATCTGATCTCTGCCACCCCCACCCACACCTCTGACTGGGTAGACCTTTGTGACTGCCTTGACCAGTAGAGTATGGCAGAAGACGCTCTGTAACTTCCAAGGCTAGATCTAGAAAATGCCATGCACTTCTGCCTTGCTCTCCTGGGACGTCCACTCTTAGAACCCAGCTGCCGTGCTGAGAAGAACTCACAGAAAGACCATGTGGAGTGGAGCAGACAGGTCAGTGTCCCAGGTGACAGCCCGTGTCAACCTCAGACCTGCACATGAGGATGCCCATCAGAGGGTTCCTGCCGCCACCGTCAAGTCACCCCAGCCTTCATCTTCCAGCCGGCGCCCCAGGCATTATGGGCAGAGGTAAACTGTCTCCATGATGCCCTTTCCAAATTTCTGACCCACAGAATCCATGATTATAATAAAATGGCTGTTTTATGTGCTCAGTTTTGGAGTGGTTTGTAGCATAGCAGTGTAACTAGAACATCTAGCTAGTGAGAGAAAGAACAGAGAAAGCAAAAATCACCCCAACCTATAAAGGACCTTGAGGGTGGTGGGACCAGGGGGTGACAGGAAGCCAATCCCTGCACCCCAAGAGGTGGCAGGGCCTCCAACGGGAACGGCTGTGTGGCTTGCGAGGGAGCCTGCACCCTAAGCTGGGACTGCCAAGCGGGGTGTAAACTGCTGAGCCCCTATGAGCACAGGAGCTTGGGACCTCCTACCTCCATAGACATGACCAGCCTGGGCTTGAGGCCCTTTCCTTCCCTCTGGGGCCACGAACACTTGCTCTCATCTGTGCTCTCTCAGGTGGGGGATGTTCAGGCATGAGGGCGCCCAGGAGGAAGAACTGGAGAGAAAATTTGAAAGCAAATGCGAAAATGGATGATTTCTTGCACATTTGAGTTTGTGGAGTAAAAGCCCTCTCGGTGCCAGGAACTCTTTGTTGCCCAAAGGATATAATGTTAGAAGGGTCAGTCCAGCCTGACTTCATGGTCTCAGAGATGTGTGACCCTCACCCCTGGAGAGGCCTCTGTGGCCCTGGGGCTTAGCACCAGGCACTTTGTAAGGGTCTCAGAAATGCTGCCCACCAGAGCAGAGGGCTTCTGGGAAGAGCCATGGGCTCTTGTAGCAGAGCTTGTAGCAGCCTTGTAGCAGAGGCTGCCCCCAGGGAGAGGGAGGTGGGATCAGAGCCTGAGGCTACGTCCTGGCAATTGTTGCTGTGGCCACCAGGTGGCGGGCCAGGGCCACGCTAGGCTGTTGGGAAGGGCCATCCCAGAGGGGCCTGGACTGGGAGGCCCAGCTGCCTCCACGGCTTTGCTGTCACCATGGCTGGAGGGAGGGGCTGCAGAGTCAGCTGTAGCAGTGGAAGCTGAGGCCCTCTCACAGGGATGAGGTGGCTTTCAGAAGGCCTGAGCACCTGTGGTTCCTCTTGAGGCCTGGTGTGCAGAGGTCTAGCTTCCAGTCCCGGCTCTGCTGTGCAGCCTCAGACAAGCCCCTTTCCCTCTCTGATGAGGCTTCTCACTAGATGAGCTCAAGGCTCGTGCAGCACCTGGTGGCTATGACCAGCTGGGTGGCCTCAGGTAGGTCATGGGGTGCTATGGTCTGAATGTGTGCGCCCCAAATTCCCATATTGAAACCTAATCACCGATGTGATGGTATTAGGAGGTGGGGCATTGAGGAGGCATTAGGCCATGAGGACAGTTGACTGGGATTAGTGCCCTTGTGAACTAGGTCTGAGGGAGCCCTTTCATCCCTTCTACCCTGTGAAGATACAGCAAGAAGGTACCATCTGTACGTAAGAAAGTGGATCTTCACCAGAC